TGATTGGAATACTCTTTCAGATGACTCCAAGGCAACTAGCGGCTACATATTAGCACATTTGGTGGATCTGTTTCTTGGAAGTCTAAGAAACAGACTATCTTGGCTCAATCTACCATGGAGTCTGAGATGATTGCACTAGCATCAGCTAGTGAGGAAGCAGGATGGTTAAGAAGTCTGCTATCTGATATTCCGTTATGGGAGAGACCGATTCCAGCTATCTTGATCCATTGCGATAGTACTGCAGCTATTGCGAAAATTCAGAACCGTTATTATAATGGAAAAAGGCGACAAATACGTCGTAAGCATAGTACTATTAGAGAATATCTCTCCACTGGAGCTGTGAGAGTGGATTATATACGTACTGATGATAACATGGCTGACCCTTTGACGAAAGGATTAGCTAGAGAAAAGGTTTGCAAAACCTCAAAAGGAATGGGACTTATGCCCGTAGATTGATGAGTCACTTGTGATGGAAACCCAACCTATGGACTGGAGATCCTAAGAAATAGGTTCAATGGGTAATAACAAGTCATGAAGTGATATGAATTGGATCATGCTAATATAACAATATTTGTTATATTCCGAATATCTTACTTTGAAGCATGAAATCCTGAAGCGATGGAAGGTTGAGTTATTTCTAAACTCTTAATGGGTTCTATATCTCTGTGTGGAGTGGAGTATTTAGCTATAGGAATACTCTTGATAGACTCACCTAAGTGAATGTGGAAGTGTGGCCGCTTCCTATGGAATTTTGGGCAAATTCTCTAGAGCATTCACTAGACTGGGATATACGTGCATGGCCGTAAAGCACAGGCTTTTGGACTTCACCCTGATAGGGTTGTGTGTGTGATGTTGTTAGAGATAGAGTTCAAAACTACGAGTTACTCTAGTATAATCTAAATCATCTTCACTATGTAAGGGTTCAAGTCGATAGACACCTTTGCTTATGCATGATCCTATATAATATTGCTCGATGGAAATGTTAAAAATTCAAGTGGGGGATTGTTGGAGCAGTGTGAATTTTTTTTTTTAATTAAAAATAAAAGTGGTTATATCTAAAGAGATTATCTATTAACAAATAAAGTTACTATTTTGAACGAAAAAAAAGGGAAGACTTAGTCTCTGAACAAGAATGACTTGGTCCATGATTTCCTCCACGATCCTCTCCACTCTCTCATGGTTTGTTCCTAACTTTCCTCATCGTCATTGTATACAATTTTCTTTAAATAGAGGCAGAGAGGATAGATTGAGATATAAAGTTTTTAGATGCTCTCTCTGGTAATCAAAAGAAAAAACTTTCTTCTTGCTTTCTGTTTTCCGAGCAATATTTGGGTGTTTGTATTCCGGCTTTCTTCAGTGCAGAGGAGGTCCGAGACAGAGGTGATTCTGGGCTGTTTTATCCTGGGGACGACGAGGCTGGTATACTGCTTGTACTACCTTGGGCAGAGCCGCGAAACGTCTTAAAGAAAGCGACTTAGTCCGCG